ATGCTAATCAACTTCTGATCACATATATCTTTATAGAACATTATAATGAACACTAGAGTTGTTGCTCGTATAGTGTTTCTGTTTGTAATCTCTTCATGTAAATTTTTTTAACACTTGAGTTGTTGCTCAAAGAAGTGTTAAACAATATGTGCTTAAAACACTTGTGTAATCTTCTTGGAAGAAGAATTCATGTAAACACAAGATCACCACCTACTTTTGTTGATTGATTCCTTGGGGGACTTAGTGAAAGTCGGATCTCAAGAAGATAATGGTTGCAGTCATTATAGGAAATCCTAATAGGAGATCTTATGAGATCAGATTTTGTTAGGTCAATGGTAGTCATTTCTCAGAGGGGACTGAGTGAAGGTCAGAGTCTTATGAGATCACTGATGGATATCATTGAAAGGAAATATTGGTAGAAGATCTTGAGGGATCAGATTCTATTGGGTCAATGGACGTTATATCTGGTTAGATCACTGAACGTGTTATTGTATGTTAGTCACTGAAGGTTTCCCGTGCAAGTGTAATCAGTTTGGTTATAGTGGATTAATTCCTTGGATAAGGAGAAATCATCCTTGTGGGGGTGGACAGGAGTATCCTAGTTAATGGCGAACTTGGATAAAGTACTTGTTTCATTTTCTCTTCATTGTCTTTATAGCTATTATCATTTAAGTGTTTAGATTTTCTAAAAGGAAATATTTTCTAAGAACATAATTCAAACCCCCATTTCTTATGTTTTCTCTACCTTCATAGGTTTCCCATCCTTGAAAGTTTACAACTTCAGAAAGATCAACACCATTAGCAGCTTGATTCTCAAAATCCATTATCAGTTTAATAAGAACAAATAGTTGAGAAAGAGGGATGGAACAATGAAGTTCAGGATCATCAACTTATTGTTGTTGTTATAGAAGAGACGAAGAACCTTGAACATCTTATTAAACATTTGATTGTTGAGAAGAAGCCATTGATGAATCACGAATAAGAACCGAAAAGGGTTTTAGGGTTTCAAAGAACTTTGGCTGAAAGAGAGAGAAAGTGTGGGATTGTTGTAGCGAAAGTGTGTGAAGTGGGAGTGAGTGGGTTTTAAAATAGTTTTCATAATGATTAAAAAAATTGAAAAGGTAAAATTTTTGACAAGGGGTAAAGCATGAATATTTTTACCTAATACCAATATGATCTCGTCTCCTAATGAGCCACATCAAGTGTTAGGTGTGATTCAAACAAGACGGTTGTCTTATTTTGAATCACCAACCTTTCATTACCCTGACAACTCATTAATGAAGTAAACTTTTCAGTTTCCAACAGACAGAAGCATTCTAGAGAGATGATTCTGACCTTGGATACTTGTGATACATAGGAACTTCACTTATCATAAGCCTCATATCCCAGAAGCAACAAAAAAAAACAATCAAACTTCATAGTCTAATTTTTCATTCTAGAAAGTCTTATGAGATTGAATCTTTTTCATTCTGGACACAAAACGATTTTTAAATGTTTCAGAATAAAAATAAACCTATCTTCAGTAAGGGGTTTTGTAAAGATATCAGTCCATTAATAGTCTGTATATATGAATTTTAAATATAAAATTCCCTTATGAACATAGTCTCTTATTAAATGATGCTTAATATCAATGTGTTTAGCCCTAGAAAGAAAAATTGGATTATTGGACAAACAAATAGCTGAAGTATTGTCAAAGAAGATATGAATGTTACTCTCAAATATTTGATAATCTTATATTTGACTCTTCATCTAGAGAATATGAGTGTTGCATCCAAAAGGAGAAATATATCCAGCTTCTGCAGTTGAAAGGGCAATTGTTGATTGCCTTTTGCTAGACCATGAGATCAAGTTATCTCCCAGAAACTGACTGCTTCCATAAGTGCTTTTCCTCTCTAGTCTGTCTCCACCATAATCAACATCACAATAGCATATTAACTTGTATTCACTTGATTTTTTATAACGCAAACCAAGGATAGTAGTACCTTTTAGATACCTAAAAATACTCTTAATTGTAGTTAAGTGTGATTCTCTAGGATCTTATTGGAATCGATCACACAACCAGACACCGAATAAAATATCAGGCATAAAAGTAGTCAAATATAATAGAAAACCTATCATACATTTGTACAACTTCTGATCCACCTTACCATTTACCTCGCCCTTCTCTAGAACGTAAGTAGGATACATAGGTGTCTTTGATGTCTTGTACTCAGACAAGTCAAACTTCTTCATAAGTTCTTTGGTGTACTTTCTCTGATGAATGAACATCTCTTCTGATCCTTGATTGATTTAGATTCTCAGAAAAAACTTAAGTTCTCCCATTAAGCTCATCTCAAACTTATCCTGCATAGACTTAGCAAATTCCTTGCACAAAGTGGCATTAGCAGAACCAAATACAATATCATCAACATATATTTCAACTACCAGAATGTCATTTTTGAAGGACTTACATGACAAGGTGGTATCAACCTTTCCTCTGGTGAAATCATTTTCTAAAAGAAAATTGTGGCATGACGGGCTAGATTTGTAGTGCACTTGCCTATTTTTTCCAAGAGGGATTGTGGCATGACGATGACATATCCTTCACATTTTATCAAGACATTGTTGATCCCTACACCATTTACCTTGGCCCTAATGTATAAATGCTTTAGGTGTTATTGCATGGCCATGTATGGCCTTTCGAAAATGGTTGGTCTTCATCCACTGAGCCATCATTCATTACATTAACACAAAGGCTTATCAGTGTCTAATTATTCGTCGAGACCACCTTCTTATGTCACTTTCTTGACTATGTCATGCTCTAATGGAAAGATAAATATCATATTGCAAATGACATCTAACTCTGGTTCAGACCCGGAGTCAAAGTTATCTCCCTCAATGTCATCATCTTCGCCTGTTTTGGCCTTTTCCACTTTCTCCTCTCTTACTAGTTATTGAGGGGGAAATAACCTTTGCTTAACAGGCCTTCTACCATATTGGCCTTCATCAACAACTTGAATACTACTCTCTTTTCTAGAACTTCCAGCCTCCCGTGTGGCCTTTTTGTTTCTCTGGTGTCTCCTCCACTTAGTCCTGGTCATGAGATTCTTTCCCATTTAGTTTTTTGAAACATAGGAATACTTCTTTAAAACTTGTGAATTATCCATTTATGAGGAACCAACACCAATATTGACTACCTTCTACTTGCCCAAATCAGCAGTTGGCTTTCTTGTAGGCCGTAGCCAATTCTTAAGGAATACATCAACATTAGGGACATATTTCCTAGTTTGGAATTTTTTTGAACTTTATTTCTTGTCGAAAGAAACTTCCTTAGATTTATCCTGTCAGATTAACTTTTTTTCTAGGTAAGGGTTCACCCTCTCCAGATCTTTGGCAGCTTCTTTGTCAAAAACAGAACTGCATCTTGAGTACAACATGACTTATGAATCTTTTAACCTACATCGATTCAAAAAGTCAATTAGTTCATCTTCATCTTTGGGGTATACCACTGTTGTTTGATCTTCATAGTTTGCCTTGTTGTTTTTGGCCCCAACTTCGTTGACAACGTCAACCATCATAGTTTCCACTGGCTCTACAAAAGAGCCTCATCAAATTTTATTTCAACAACTCCTTCTGGTTGTGGTTTCTACTTGTTGTTAAACTTGAGCTTTCCATCCTTGAGAGCATTTTGCACCAGATCCCTGGAAAGGACACATTGAGAAGTTTTATGACCTTAAAAGTTATGAAATTTACATAAACATTTTCTCTCTTTGTTCTAATGATGGGGTTTTAGCCCCCTTAGGAACAACATTTTACCCATCAGAAACCAACATGTCAAAGATTTCGTCACACTTAGTGACATCAAAGATATACATTTAAGTAACAAACTTCTCGTTTTTTAGATCGACGAGATTCTTCCCATTCGAGGGTTTTAGAAGTTTGCATGTGTAAGGGGGTCCTAACTTCAATTATGCCACATTGACCTCATTTTCATCTACACGTCCATAATCCATGAATTTCCTACATTGTCAGCTTCAACATAAGCCACTTTCTTTTTATCGAACTTAGTGGTTTTGGCCTTTTCAGCCTTCAATCATTTGACTTGTCGAACTCTATCGGACAACTGGGCCATATCCCTTGGATATTGGGTGTCTAATTTCTTCCTAATGGAATAATAAAGACCCCTTGCTGCCAGTTCGACCAACTCATGTTCTGGAACTTGCATACAACATCTCGATTTCGCGGTCCTAAACCTATTGAGATAATCATCAATACTTTCAGCCACTTTTCGCCTTACACTGGCCAGTTCTTGGAGACTAATCTTCAATTGTCCCATATAAAGCTGTTTGTGGAACACTTTCTCCAATTGGTCCCAAGTGAAGATATAATTTGGAGGAAGAGTGGTAAACCACGTGGAGACATTGTTTGTTAACGATCTAGGAAAATATTTGATTTTCAAATTCTCATTGTTGACTAAATCACCAACCTCAGTTTGATACCCGACTATGTGTTCGATGGTGGATTCACTGGCGTCACTAGCAAACTTGATAAATTTAGGGACTTTCCAACCCCTAGGCAACTCGATTTTCCTAACGTATTCCAACAATGACGACACGAAATTTGGCTTGAGATGGCTAACATTAAGGCCATTATGGACCAGAATTCATTCAACCACATTAGTAATATTATTTTGCCAACCAAGATGGTCTTGTTGGTCTTGTCTGAGAACTTGATTGGGGTCTTGGTCTTGTTGAACCAATACCATATTCGAGACATTTGGATCTTGGTTGTTCTTTACAACCCTAGCTTCTTGAGTGTTAACCCCCAGGAGATATTTAGGTGCTAGGGCCACTGGCGCTAGTGGTGTATAAAAAAACTTGCCATTCTACCCATATATCGTGCCAATTGCTGATAGCATTGAGTCACGTGTTCTATCAGTGGGTTAAACACAATGCATATCTGTTGTGTGATCATGTAGACCATATCATGGTTACTCTCGTCCATTTATTGTCTCATGACAGATGAAGTTATTGGTCAGAGGTGACATAATCAGGGAAAAATATCCCATACCTCCTAGCAATTGTCCCGCTCGACCAATGTTTTCCATAGTGGACCCTGTGGCCCAATACGAATTAAAGGGAAACAATGTAGCCATCACATTTTCTGAGTACACTGGTGCACTAGGGTGTATGTCAGCCATTATTTCAGTTGGTATGCCATAAGGTTGCTCTTTCATAGGCAGGGTGAAACTCAAGGAAGAAGGCCTTTAGTCTCCTAGAATATGCAACGATGCCTCCACCACATCTGATGGCACCATCGTTTATACTATTTGACTGATGGTAGCGAGCATTTCTTCAACAGAAGTTGGAATCCCAGAACTTTCAACACTTGCTATTATCGATTAATTTTCAGGGTTTAGAGCATTACCTTGGGAAGGGATTGATTTCTACGAGATATTTCGAGAATTTTTTTACCACTATTCAAAAACATAAACCCTCAAAACTCATAAGTTTTATGTAGAGAAAAACTTTTCAAAAGAAACGTAAGACACCTTTTTTTTGCAAAAAAAATATTTAGAAATATTCACACAAAAGGTCATACTAGGCATGACAATTTGTTTATCGATGTTTTTGGTAATCAATCACGAGTTTAGAAAGCAAGTGATATTAACTCGAAAAATCTCTAAAGCAATTTGTGCAAATGGCTTGTGTGAACACACATGCGTGTGAATTAAATGCAGTTGTCGTTTGCACGATGATGGTGCATAAACAAACTTTAAATGCAGGTAAGTTATGATAAATGACAAAGTAAAATGTCGTAAATGAAATTAAACAAGAGTAAAAGTGAAAGTAAGAAAAATCAAATGTTGCATTTAAGGAAACAAGAAAATAATTAAAAGACTAGACGCAAACACATACATGTTTTTCACACATTGTTTCGCTCTTTGATTAGGGTACTTCAGTGATATGAAGAGTATGTATGAAATTTCACTACCCCTGTTCCAATGTATGAGTTTGCTATTTATTCTATTTACAAAATAACCGTCGACGATAGTTCCACCCACTAGGGAAATATTATGTTTTACTCCACATTTGATATTCAGGTTCCCACTAGTGTGTCTGCGTCTCATCCACGATTCTTTCATTTTATAACCCATGTTGAGTTATAACCGCTTTGAACTTTCCCACGAACTTCTGATAATAACCGCCCAACATGGTTGTTGATGTTGCTCTACATGGGACTTTGTACTTGTAAAAATACCAAGTCTTTAACCTTTCGTTGTTCAGTCGACTAATACATTTGTTGTAGTGAATGTCTTGTCGAAAGCCCTTTTCGAGATTCTGGACATGTTTCCAAATGATCCTGATCTTATGGATTTGTTTCTGAGATTCCTCCAAACCATGTATTTTTTTATCGACAACTTGATTGATACCTTATCGATGCTTCCTCATTAATGCACTTGAAACACTTCATCAATGTCTTTTAATAGTAAATGTCTTTTCATTTTGACATTCTTTGTTGACTATCTTCTAATTGAAAATCCAAGTGTAATAGAGAGTTACATGACTTGGTTCTATATTGTGTCACACCTTATCATGACACCATACACTCTTGGACGTCCACTTAGGCATGCTCATGAGGAGATTCTAGAGAATGAGCAGACAAGGGATGACCATGTCATTGACGTGTTGCCGATCTGTCAGAATATTATGTGGATTACATATGAGGATATAAAGTCCGAGCGGTTTGAGAGAGGTGACAGTGATGGAGTTGCCCTAACATATTCCATTCTTACTAGGGCACAAAATACCTTGGGTTTTCGGCGGCAGATAAAGGATCAGGGGGGTTAGGATTAAGCATATGCAATAAGTTATGTTTTTTTTTGTTTGTACTTTCATATGTTTTACTAGTATCTTCCCTACTTTGAGAACTATGTTTATAATATTTTGAGATGTTTTTAAATTAATGCATTATCTTATTCTATAATGTTCGATTTTATTAATGTTTGAATTAAATTATAGATTATAACACTATTAATCGGATTAAAAAAATACAAACATAAATAATATTTCTACTCAAGTTCTGAGATGCACGTCCGAAATAAATTTTTTCAAAAATGCTTCACAAAATTTACTCCAAAACTATTCACAAATGCATTTCTAAATCAATTTTTATTAAAAATAAGTTGAAAGTGCATTAGGAAATGCAATTATCGGTTTTTAGATGTGAGCCACCAAAGGATTGAAAAGAAATTGCCTAAATATTTTGCACACGCAAGCTAGCCTAGGTGGATTCATCACCCACTACTCTTTAAACTTCCCCTGCCCCGTACTAACGCCTAATTTCCTCCTCACAACAACGCTTACGGCGACGGCACAAGCGAAGGAGACACTTTCTTCTCACATTGCACCAACAATCGCTTTTCCTCATCGTTGCTCCATCAACGCACCGACCCACTTCCTTCTCGTTCCGTCCTTTCTCTCCGTAACTGAAATCACAACGGATTTTCATCATTGAAGAAAAACCCTACGATTGGTCACTCACTAATCACTACTTGTTCTACCAATTTCTGAACCAGGTAACGCCTAATTTCTATGCACTATTACTCTGCTCGCTCCTCTGATTAACATTCTTTATATGACCGTAAAATCACTGCGTATCATGTACACCTTTTTTTGTGTGCTTATTTTATATTGGTTAGTTACTCTTTTGCTCGCATGCTTATTGTTTGTGTTAATGTCTTAATCTGCGTTACAAGAGTATATAGTACTAAATTTGATGCGTTAATCTGCTTGAAATTAATCAAAACCGAAGACTTATTTTATCATGAATACTCAAAAATGTTTCTACATTATGAATGATACTAGTTTTTTGAATGAATGATTTGTTGTTGAACTCTTGTGTAGAGCTTTTCTTTATAACTAGAGTAATTTTTTAATGAAGAAATATATCGATCAACGTACTGATCTGCCATGTTTTACTAATGAATAATGCTAATAAGCTGTTTGAGGATATTTTGGTTTTAGTCTGCTGTTAAAGTGTCACGTAGTTTTTGCTGTGTGCTTGGGAACACGAGGCCTAATTGGGAAATGGTATAGTTCATGTTTGTTGTTACTACTATTTTTACGAATGTAAATATCTCTAAATAGGAGTCAACGTTTTTGGGTAGACATTTCACTAGGATCATCTTCTTTTTTATTTACTCTGTAATGAGTGATTATTTGGGTGCCGTTTTAGGCTTCTTTTTATGAGCTATTTAAAAACTAGGAGAGTTTATGTAAGGCGATGGCTATTTTAATCTTTGACGGGAATGTCATTGGATTGGAGGTTTGGATTCACTTGTTGAGTATATACCGGTAAATTGAATACCAATGCATAATAGTAAATGATGAAAAGGGGCTGATTTACAAGAAGTTAAAGAAATATTGAAGCAAAATAGACTGTGGAAAGAGAAATGTGAGAAGAAAGTAAGTATAGTGTTCTATGTATTTGGGGAAGAAAATATTGATGGGATTAGAATAGATGCCTTTGATAAGAACAGAGATTTAGTTTCTTAGTCTATCTACTGTATGTAGATGCCCATTTTAAGGAATCTGGCTCACTTGTTTGTATATTTTGTTTCTACTTTTGTCAGAGCAATGACTGCATAATTTTCTGTATATTGTTTTCTTCCTTCCTTATTTTTCACTACAATTTTATAAAGAAGTTGATATATATTCGATGCCTTTGGTCATCTGTTTCACCCAGTCTTTTTTTATATGCCTATCCATGTTCAGCGTATTTTATCATTTGCAATTTCTTGATGGCAGGAAAGGAGCTGTTTTGCATCTTTGCTTACACATTAGGGACAAATCCCGACTCTAGGGGCTTTGCATAGGGTTCAGAGTTGTATCTTCCTTCTTCTTGCCTTTCATTCTGCCCATGAACCCTATGCAAGAGGGAAGCACATCAAAGCTATTCCGAAGGGCAAAAGGCAAAAAGAAAAGGGGTCGACGAGTAAATGACGTTAAAGTTGCAGAAACCCCCTCAGAATTCTCATTTAATATAGCCAAAACTGCAGTTTCTCAGATCTGCCAGTCCGTTGGCTACAAAAGAACCAAATATGATGCTCTTGAAGCCTTAACTAATGTTACCACAAAATATCTCGAAGCCATTGCAACATCAGCTGCCTCTTTTGCCAATGCATCCAACCGTACTGAACCAAACCTCTTTGACCTTATCAATGGCATTCATGATATGTGTTCTGTTCGAGGAGTTCCCGGTGGTTCAAAAATGCATTCAAGTAACCTACTGAGTTCTGGAGCTCTAAAAGATATAATGAGTTTTGTCAAATTCTCCACAGAAGTGCCATTTTCCAAACCAATTCCATCAAAAAATGCTCACAGAATCCAAAATCCAGAAGTAACCACTGATTCTGGCACATCAACATGTTGCTTAAAGGAAGCAAAACCAAAAGGTTTGCATATACCAAGTTGGCTCCCAGATTTTCCTAAGGAAAGCTTATATAAAAAGTCTGAAGGGGTTGTTTTACTAAACGAGCGGAAATGTGGTGAGAAGTTGTGGGAACATTCACTTGCAATGGAAGATTGCACCGGTAATAAAGAGGAAAACAATGGCATGTTAAAGAGCACCGACATAAACAAAAAAGAAGAGAAAGACACTGCGACGGAGTTGGCAATGGGAAGATTCAGGGTGAAGTTTAAAATTGGAAAGGAGGAAGAGAAACAGATTGGGTTGGGTATGAATATGAATATGATGAATGGGGTTTGTAAAGGAAGGAAAAGAGTGTCTTGGAGTCATTACAAAATGAATGACTGTATGAGTAAGGCTGATGAAAATGAAGATGAAAGGAGTGCATTAAAAAGAGAGATGAGTTAACATGATCGTTATGAAAATTATGTGGTTCTCTTCATGGATTAGCGTTTTCCATAGCTGGCCATACTCCAGGGCTACTGCATCTATGTATTTTGTGATATATAGAATGATCCGCACAAAATTGCCTAATGTTAACAGTGGCGCAGCGGTTTTGTACTTTTCTGGATGTATCAGGTCTAAGGATTGAATCTGGCATGACGAAAATTTTAGCAATTTTAACTCCATTTAGTAGCCTATTTATAGAAAAAAAAACAAAAATTACGTATCTCTTTCAAGGATCGAACACATATGTTGCTTGTTTCCATCATAATGATATTAAATTGCAAGTTGCAACATTCTTACAATCGGATCCTTACCAGATCGTCGACGAGAAGTATGCCGGGGGATTTTATGCGATTGAAATACATAAAAGCAAGATGGAGTCTTTTAATTTTTTTTATTTATAAATTAATAAAGAGGTACTTGGATATGCATTTTCGGATCCATTCAAAAATTATGCATAACACTATGCTAATTATGTAGATCAGAATTTAAAAAACAAAAAATGTCTAAAAAATATTACTCAATTTTACAATATTATATAGTGCGTTACTTACAAAAAAAACGTGTTACATTGCTAAAATTACAACTAGCGCATCAAAAGTTGAGTCAACATCTAAAACTATCTAAAACTATTGGTGGCTCAATCTTTGACCTTTCTTTATTTGCTTCTCGTTCAAGGTCGCTCAATTTGATGAACTCTTACATCTTTTTATTGCGATAAGATAAAAGTTTGTTCTATCAATAATACGAAAGCGATCAGGTTTTGTATTGAATCCACTATTTATCTCATGTTGATGTTCGATGTATTATATGAATGATATTATTGCTATAATTCCACAGTGAATTAACAAAACGACTATACCCAATCCCTTGGTATATAACTCACTAATCTACACTAGAAATCTCCTACCCCTAGTCAATCGACCTAAGTGAGATTAGGTGATGCAATAACACGTTAATTCATAAGTCAATACTCGAGGTCTCCCATCCCTATTCAACCGACGTAAGTATAACAATTGCTTTAGGTCTAACACATAGACTAATGGTCAGTATTTTCTATGTTCCTAAATTCAGATTAAAAGAGTATCTCACGTAAAAGCATTATGAACAAGAAGCAATTTAATAGAATTATAACTCAAATTATTAAAGACCCACTTTTAATCCTTGATTTATATAGTTCTTTCTTTGATGAAAGCAATAAGTGAGTAAAACATATGGGAGAAACCCATAGAGACAAAAAGTAATTTTTTCTTCTCTTCTTAGTGTTTATATACCCATCACCATCATTTTTTATATTCTTCTCTAAAACAACTTCTTGATTATGAATTCATGTTAAATTCATTCTCTTCTTTGTTGCATCTCGTTCTTATGCAATTTGTTATTGTGTTGAGTGAATTAGAGAGAGGGAGTTGATTAATCTTGATGTGTTATTCATGATTAATCAATCCCTTGATAATAATCAAAGTCAAGACCCATTTACTCATAATTTTGAGAGAATCTCGTGTGTGTGTGTGTGTGTGTGTGTGTGTGTGTGTTTGTTTATGTTCTGGACTGGCCCGACAGCTAGAGTGGACTCAGTCTAACCCCTTCTTTCGGTACGACCCACACGACCGTGGCCCGAATCTCCCACGTTCTCTGTCAGACAACATCGATCCATTGTCCTCCTGGACTGGCACCGACCCACGATGATTAACGAGCACTTCTCAATCTGTCGACATCAAGTCGCGCAGACAACCAGAAACCGACCAGATTGCTGCATGTAACCTACCTCCTCCTCGGATCTAACGGCTAGTTACGGGCACACCTACCCGGTATGACCAAGTCCTGGTAGTTACCTATTTTTGCGGACCCGCATATCTAGGCCAAAAAATAGGAACCAATGGCTACGTGCCAAGGACATTATATAAACCCTCACACATGTGAGGGCCAGGTATTGAATATTCACTATTTATCACTAATACCCTAATACTTTGCTTGTATCTCTTTGCTCCTACACTTACTTGATCATCGGAGTACCTTGTAGGCACAACCCTCTTTTTCCCTCCTCGAGATCACAGTCCGACTGAAGATCATCATTCATCCACCTTGTAGGTTCTGATCAACCAGTAAGATCAGTGGCGTCGTCTATGGGAAACCTGCTCTCCCCATCTTTCTTTCCCTGGAACTCAAAGATCAAAGCAGATATTCAAGATTTCATTCACCAATCATGGCCGACCATGATGATCTCCTCATGCTCGGAAAGATTCCACTTTCCCCGATGCACAAGGCTGACGGAGGCCAGAGACATCCTCACCTCGAGGATAACTTCAACCTTCGCGACGTCCAAACTACATCTCCAGACTCCATCGGCGCCCAGCGCGATGAACAACATTTCTTGGACGGACAACGTCCCAAGATCCCCGCTGAGGAACTGCCAGAAATCCTACAACCAGTTCCTATCCCTCAGAGCATCAATCTAGCCACCGCAGCACTGCTTGCTGCCATCAACCAAACCAACGCCCTTATCTTGCAATATAACAAAAAGATGAGGGCCTGGGAACAAAAGCAGTCAAGGCCTCCTCCTCGGAGATCCCGATGGAAATATTCCCCCAACATATCTCCACCAAGGCGTGGCCTTCCACTAACAAAGGAGAAGCGTGATATTTCTTTCTTCAAGAAACGCGACCGCTCGCCGCCACCAAAAGATCAAGACCTTATGTCGTCCAAGAGAAAGAAATACGGCCACTATAACACAGTGGGAGAACTGACTTGGGTGTTTTGCGTTTGATCGTAATTATTGCGGAAAGAAAGAGTCGCCACCGACTTTTCTTTTATCCAATAAGGAAAGGATGAAAAGAACATGAAAAGACCTTTCGAGATTATTTCTTAAGTTCGGAGGGTAGGTTATGAAAAGGGAAGGTATTATCACCCTTTTCACCCGTAATTATCTACGGACTCTTAGTTGCTTGCTAGATCACTTGCTTTTGTTTGAAAATATGCTTTGTGGTGTGGGTTTGAAAATATTTTGAAAACGTCTTTGTAATGATTCTCGTCTCTATAAGAATGCATACAAAGTGTTGGTTTTGAAAATTGTTCAAAGAGGTGTTTGTGGAAGATGTTTTTGAAAGTGATTTTGAAAATTGCTTTTGTAATTATTCTCATCTCTATAAGAATGCGTACAAAGAGCTTGTCTTTTGAAAATGTTTCAATGGAAAGTGTTGGTGTGAAAATGATTTTTTGTTGTTGTGAGAGAGCGAGCAACTGTGATCATCCTACTTACTCAAAAGGTCTAATGTTCTTTTTCTCATCCTTTAGATGTTGCTATCTTACCATTGATTTGGTAAGAAGCCCCATCGTTGGATGTGAACGGACGGGCGTGGGTCATTTGTATAGTCATAGAAGGCAACCTATGGGACGTTTTAGCAATTTCGTTAGGGACTAGATCGTTTACCGAAGGCAACATCGAGGGTCATCAAGGGAATACGATCTTTTATCGAGGGTCTTTGCTAAAACGCCTATATTCGAGGGGACATGACTATTTTCCGAGGCAACAAGTGAGATTACCCTAGAGGTGCATGTGTGAAAAATGTGTTTGATTGAATGCATTTTATCTTTGATTTTTGGGTTGTCTACTTGTTGGTTTTATCTTGTCATACATCCTAATTACTAACATTTGTATAAAGCAATAAAAATGCAGAAAATAAATATCCTACACTATTACAGCCATATTGAATAGCAAGAAAATGTAAAGACAAAACAAAATAAAAGAAGGGAAAATAAGCTTTTCGATCCAGGCACACCGTCCCTTCGATTCTGCCCTTCCCTGCCTCTTTCGATTTAGGCATGTAAGTTAGGACGAGATGAGCTCTTCAATCCCGCCCTTTCCTGCCTCTTTCGATTGGGGCCTGGAAGTCAGTGTCGACACCATTCATTTCTCCCTTCTGGATCC